ACATATGATCTGACGTTGTCTCCCATTGCCATTTGTAGCGTGAGAGACCTCAGGAATCCGAGACATCATGAGTTCGATACCCCAGAGGAAGCGAGCCCGTCCCAAACCACCAGCCACAGGGCCGGGGAAGAACGACAACATCAACAACAACAGCAACAACAGCAACAATAAATACAACACTCACGACAGTAAATACAACACTCACGACAGTAATCCCGTGACTAGCCCTTCCGGAGACTCTAGAAACACTGACGTCACAGACGAGGACGTCGGCGTGGGGTCACAAGTGAACTCTGCCCAAAGTTCAAAGGTCAGTTACGAGGAGAGTTCAGCAGTAGAACCCAGCGCAAAGACTAGCAGCAAGAACAGCGGGAGAGGAGGAGGAGGAGGTGAATGTTCTGAAGAGGATTATTCTTCTCCTAAACCAAACGGAGCAACAGGCAGAGGCGGTCCTTACGACCAGAGCGCTCCCAGAAAGAGCGGCGGTCTGAAGAAAGTCTCCTCCCAGCCAGTCATCAACCACTTTTCTCCGTCGGCGTCAGCGTCCGCGGCCTCAGCAGACGAGAACGTGACCGGAAGTGACGGAGACTTGACCCTGAGCAAACGACAGAACAAGCCGTCCAGACCCAAGACCTCAAAACTCACGTCCCGCAAAGACGTCTCGAAATCTCTCAACCTAGACTCCTCCTCGCCGCAGAATTCAAACGGAGCAGTGAAAAAACAGAACGGCAACAGCAGTAGCAGAAGCAGCAGCAACGGCAGCAGTAGTGGTGGTAGTAGCAACAACAACAGCAACAACAACAACAACAACAACAACAACAACGTGAGCAGACTGTCGTTGCCTAGCGACGGGCTTGCGGCGTCGCCTCGAGAGCTTAGCGACGGTAGCGAGGTCGGGGATAAGAAGGTTTCGTTCCGGGACGAGAGGCTCGAGTCGTACGCCGACGACCTGCCCGCCGAGGCTCCTCCTACATCAGGAGATCCCAACATGGCCGTCCACTCGGACAGGCAAAACGCTCTCGAGCCGCTTCAAACGGAGCGGTGGGAGAATGTGAACGTTCACGTCCACGAGCCACCCAACACGGAACGGCGAGACCGACAAAACGCTTTGGAGCCTTCCCCAACGGAACGTGGCTCGGTGACCTCTCGAGAGAGGGTCAACTCTTTCGGGAAAAAACGTGACGTCTCGAACGCTTCTCTGGATAAATTATCCGCCATAAGCCGCGAGCAGCCGTTGGTCAACAGATGGACGGATAGTCCGAGGTCCGGGGACGCTTCCGGTCCGTGGAGGAAAGTGTCCAATGAGAACAGTCTGATCAAGTCCGCGCGGGAAACACGTGACGCGGATTTGGCCAATGAGGGCGCACCTCCAGACAGATATGGGAGTCCGAGGGATGACTTTGATTTCGATCCCAGCGGAAGGAAGTTTACCAAGAAAGTCGGGAAGCACAACTTTGGGTGAGTTGTGTGGCGCAGAACTAGAATATATGTAGATGTTTACTTTTTACTTATTCTTTTACTTTTTCATCCTCTGTTGCCGTTAAGCGTCGAGGGGAGACGCAGTTTTCTACGGTAGGCCAGCTCCAC